AGATTTATTTATTTATTTGAAAGGCAGAGTTACAGAGAGGCAGAGGCAAAGAGGGAGAGGACGGTGCCGCGGCTCAATAGGCTAATCCTCCGCCTGCGGCGCCTGGCACCCGGGTTCTAGTCCTGGTTGGAGCACCGGATTCTGTCCCAGTTGCCTCTCTTCCTGTCCAGCTCTCTGCTGTGGCCCGGGAGTGCAGTGGAGGATGGCCCAAGTGCTTGGGCCCTGCACCTGCATGGGAGACCAGGAGAAGCATGCTGGCTTCGGTTCAGCGTGGTGCACTGGCCGCAGCGCGCCAGCTGCAGTGGCCATTAAGGGTGTGAACCAACAGAAAAGGAAGACCTTTCTCTCTGTCTCTCTCTCTCTCTAACTCTGCCTGTCAAAAAAAAAAAAAAAAAAAAAAAAAAAAAGAGAGAAAGAAAATGATAGCTAAGTACTTTTATGGGTAGCAATCTGATGGCTGCAATGTCCAGAGCTGCACCGATCAGAAGCCAGGAGCCAGGAGCTTCCTCTGGGTCTCTCATGCAGGTGCAGGGGCCCAAGGACCTGGGTCATCCTCTACTACTCTCCCAGGCCATAGCAGAGAGCTGGATTGTAAGTGGAGCAGCTGGAACTCGAACCAGTGCCCAATGTGATACTGGCACCACAGGTTGTGGCCTTACCCACCACACCATGGTGCTTGGGCTCTCCCCCTCCCCCATTTCAAAATGTTTGCATCTCTTAATAACCAGCGTTCTCTGAAGTCTGCAGTGGGACTCAAGGCTGTCAAATATCAGCACCATTTTCTTTGTAGTTTTGGTCTTTTTCTAGAAAATCAGCTTGGTCTGCCCACCCTAGCTGCTGCTTTCTGTCATAATGCTAATTTCCCTGGTATACAGAGAATCCTTGCCTATCTCATACTGTGTCACTTTGTGGGGCTGATGGTTGCCACAATTCTTACAGAAGATCCAGCATGTTCCAGGTCATCATGTTTGTCAGAGGGCTGTCAGCTTTGAAAGCAACATATTAACTCTTCCAGGCACCCCAGGAGATCATTTAGTGCCATGTTTGTAGGAAATAATATTCATTTGTTTCCCCATACAATGATACTGTAAAATATTATATTCATACAGTATTCCTCTGGGTGAAAAGTACAAGGCTGCATCCTGGTTGGTGATGAATTGTGCCACTGCTGTCAGGTCTTGGGTTTATTCACCAAACTCAAATGAAAGCCCCAAGACTGCAAGTGCTTTGTCTCTTTTGCTCACTGTTCTATCTCCAGCACCTAGGACAAACACAGAGTTGCTCCTTAATAAATATTTGTTGGTGAATGAATGAATGACCTCTGTAGGGACCTGTTGGCTTTCTTCCATGGCTGAGTATTCTATTTTTAACTTGGGCCAAACTTCTTTCTTTTCTAAGCCACTGACTACAAGGCAACTGGGGGAAGGGAGAGTAGATGGAACAACATAAGCTTATCACTTCTACTGAAAGTACCAAGACAAGGCCCATGCCCTTCAGAAGCTAGGTCTATTGCATTATCTTTTGAATAAAGGATGGTAACAAGGAAAACAAAATCCAAAACAATTCTGAGGCAGGGGTAAAGGGGATGCATTTTATACTCTCTTCTTTTTGAATTTTATGAAACAATGATGTCTTTGAACTTTTTTTTTTTTTTTTTTTTTTTTTTTTTTTGGACAGGCAGAGTTAGACAGTGAGAGAGAGAGAGAGACAGAGAGGAAGGTCTTCCTTTTGTTGGTTCACTCCCCAAATGGCTGCTACTGCTGGCGCGATGTGCCATTCCGAAGCCAGGAGCCAGGTGCTTCCTCCTGGTCTCCCATGCGGGTGCAGGGCCCAAGCACCTGGGCCATCCTCCACTGCACTCCCGGGCCACAGCAGAGAGCTGGACTGGAAGAGGAGCAACCAGGACAGAATCCAGCGCCCCAACCGGGATTAGAACCTGGGGTGCCAGCGCCGCAGGCAGAGGATTAGCCAAGTGAGCCGTGGCGCCGGCCTTTGAACATCATTTGTGCATATTCAGTTTTTCATCAGATTTACTTATTTACAAGTTTATTTATATAATTTAGGTAATTTGCCAATAAATATACCAGTTAACAGCAAAAAATTGAAGCTGAGTATTTCCAAGGTTATATTGCATAGTGGAATAGAATCATTGATAATTTAGAGAAATAAGTGTTTTTAAAAATGTGACAAATTGCTTGTACCATACAGATGTTACGCTTCATATTGATTATTTGGTTTTAAATTGATAAGACTTCTAAAATCAAAACACTGTGGGTTTATTTTAGATATTCTAGTTTGGCAGATTACTAGGCATCTGTACAGTGTTTACCTTGGGAAACTAAAGTTCACATATTGCAAGCAGATGCCATAATTCTACCTTAGATTAAGGTTTGTGTTTAACCTGTACTGATTATTTTTTTTACAGCTTTGAAGTAATAATTGGTACCGGTAATTATAGTAACAAACTGTCTCTTGGTATTCATTTGGATAAAAAGCAATTACTTCATCAAATTCATTTGCTCCTTCCTTAAAAATAATTTTTTCTTCATAATTTTCCTACTGAGCAGGAGGTTTATATCCAGTGGGGATAATAGAATTCCCCATTGGCCAGGAAATTAACAATAAAAGTAAGTTAATAAGCTTTTATTAAGCACCTATAATTGGAATGGATGCTGTGGAAAGAGCAGAAAATAAAGAGCTGCCTCTGGCCCCTGGGGAAACCTACAATCTACTTAAAACACAATAATGTGGTTTGTGGTTTTGTAGATTCATATCGAATTTTATTCAGAACATGTTCCTGAAACTGATACTAATTTGATAAAAAATTTATATAACATAATATTTAAAGGTGCTATTTGTTGTGTTCCCTAATATCAAAATTATAAAAGAATTCAATGGAACTTATATCTAATGAAGTTTTAATGTACATTCATCTTTTTAAAATCTAAATGATGTTTTAAACTGTGAAATTTAAAACAGTGCTGGTAAAGAAATCATGGTATGAGTCTTAAGTTTGTTAGTGACACTTCATAGATATTAAGATATCTGTAATTAACACCAAAACTGGCAGGCATGTTTTTGGGTGGTGAAGTGAATTTGACCACCATTCAACTTACATATTTTTTTTTTGTCTTGTAGAACAGAAACTAATTTTAGTCAATATGCTCCTTGTGAGATGTTCTTTATATAATAATTTTAAGGCATAGGAAATTTATCATTCATAGAGAAAATGAATGAAAGCTCATTTTGACCTTCCAACTATGTTTAAAGCTCACTTAGTAATTATAGGCGATTACATACTTAATACATTACATTTTTACTGAAGTCTATAGAATATACTGAGGAGTAATAAACATGTAGGGCATATATCTTACATCATTTTCTTCTAATGCACTCTTTAGAAATTTAGATTCTCAGCAATTTTCCATCAGTGAAAATTGTGTGTACTCTGATTTGGCCCTTGAAAAGTTCTCTCCTTATGTACAGTACTTAAAAATAAGAGCATCAGTATGATATTTATCATTAATATATTATCTTTTTACAGATTTCTTAATTGAAAAAAATAAAATTTCCTGAATTGTTGATGACCAGAGAAGCAAAGGTACATGTTAAGGAAAGAAAAAGAAGACTTACAGGATAATCAGAACTCAGTACTTACACATTAATATTTTTTAGTTTTAAATGCTTAGTAATTTATGTTAGGACCTATTGTAGAAGAAGATAATAAATTAGTCTACCAAATTCTAGTTCATTACATTTACATAGTTACTTATTATTGTTGATCTAGGTTTTATTTACTCAAAAGCTGATTTTTCTGAAAAATATGCATGGGAAATCTGGTGAAGTGACTTTTGTTGGTAAAATTCTGTTGTGATTTAGCTGCTACAGATACTTTTTCCTTAACTCTTACATTAAGTTAAACTATTAGCATATAAATCCTATTAGAATGTGTCAAGTTGACTGTTAAAAATGGTTGTGTAATCACAATTTTCTTTTCCCTAAGAATTAGAGATTTAAATCTCTGAAAACATTAATGTGTGGGGGGTGGTTATGATAGTCCAGCTGCCTTTGTGTGTGTTTCATTTAAATGTAAATTTATCTTAGAGACTCTAAAGATGAGCTCAGAAGGTGAAGAATTTTAATTTGAGTGTCATTTTCTTCTCTTTTTTCATGAAAACTAAAATCCCTGTTTTGCACTAAAGAAAAAGAAATCTTATTACGTGGTCAATACCCAACTTTCTTTTTTGAAAGGTTCATAATGTATTATCAGTTTTCTGTCATTAGTAGTTTTTCTAAAACTATATAATTCCATTTAAATAAAATTATTATGTGCTGTAAAACTATAGATAGCAAGAGTTTTCCAATTTCCAGAATGATGCTGAATATTATTTTGCAGCATTATATGAAGGAGAACAGTAGTGTTTAGACTAGAAATCAGGTTGTAGAAAAACCTTTCCAAATAAAATAAATAAATAAATAAAAATTTTAAAAAAGCAGTTATTGAAGTTAACAGAAGCACAATGACATACAATACACTTACCTATTTTTTTTGTATATATTTAGACTATTTTTAATACTGAGTAAAATAGAGTCTGATTCTGTAATTGTAAATCAACTTCCAGCAACAATTTTTGAGAATACTTTTTTGAGGAAGTTTCCAGTTTTTGAGGATGTTTCCAGTTACTGTTCTTTTTAAACAGAGAAGGTCAAGATATGAAGCTCTGTAATTGTGCTTTATTTTGTAGTCTGCTGGCATTGTGTAAGCCACCATGATTGGCCCATTAAGAGAGGGTAACCTTCTACCGTCTTTTGTAGCCTTTTCTATTTCCCTGCAATAAAATAGGCCATTTTTGTGAGTTACTGTTGATTGCATATTTTGAAGTCATTTTTCTCTTTAGTCATTGCATTACTAGCCTGTGATTGTGTTGTGTTGAAAAAAAAAAAAAAAAAAGACAAACAAGTACACCAAAACCTTCTTTGATCTACCCTAACCTTTCTATATGTAAATTTTAGGAAAGTAATATTGTAGCATGTCAATAAAATGTACTCCTGCATTGACATTTCTGAAGTAATTATAAAAAGGATTATAGGTTTACTAATGGAATTGCTATTTGTTGGTTGATAATGTTTACTTAAGCTACGTAAATGTAAATATTTCCCAAGTAACCTCTATAGAGTCAAGGGTTCCCTTCAAAGAAAACACCTTTGTGTCTTCTAAATATCTTTATTTTATACAGTTAGAAAAACTTTTTGAGATGTCTTAAAAATTTAATTTATTTAGTATATACACATTTTCATTGACTACTTAGAGATTTAAGATGTAATTCTGCATGTCTTCCTTTAATAGTTGAGGTTTAGAATTTAAGTTTTCCAGTAACCAGTAGAAGTGTCAAATGAGTATTTACACAGTATCCTGATTTACAGATTATGTGATGTGAGGTTAGACACAAATTTGTAATTGAAACTCGTGATTTTTTTTTTATCTTTTTTTCCATAATTCCAGTTGAACTCTGGAGGACAGGACTATGAAGAATACACTTCCTGTCAAACATCATACTCTTTTGCTTCCTCTCCAATTTCTGTTCCATTTCCTCTGAACTCCAGAGGCTTGGGCAAAGTGAATTCTAAAATGCCAGAGTCTTTATTTTGAATTACAGACTTCATGGAGACACTTGAATGGCTGAGATCCTTTCATCCCAGGTAGAATATGTAAATACTTCATAAAATACTGTGCTGTGATTACCCCTTTACTTTCTACAACAGTTGCTTCTATTTTTAAGAAAACAATGTTCTACTTTATTGATCAAAGCCCGGTTAATCTGAGACACACATTTTGTAATAGTTTTATGTTTCTTCACACCATTTGGAAATTAGTATTGACTACAATCACTTTTTTGGTAGCTAGTCTTTGTAAAAATTGTAAGAAGTATTGCTAGGTTACTAACTGTGAGATTGCAAAGGGATGGCCCAGTGATATCAACCTGTAGAAAATGACTGTGATGAATCAGCTTTTCTTGAGTTCATTTCTTACTTTACATCATGGTTTGAAAAAAACAATAGATGATAACACGTTAGTGTGAATATTTTTAATCATCCCACCTTGTAAAACTTTGTATCATGCCAAAAACCAGAGTAGGTTTTCAGAAGTATTTTCCTTTTGACAACTGTTGTATAGCAGCTCCTATTTAAATGTTTGTAAGGACATTCTGTTTTAACAAATTAAATGGGAGTATTGGTAATCATAAAAGGTTTATACCTCATATTCAGGGTTATTACCTAGTAGCCAAAAATGCTATCTGTATCTATTTTTGGAGTGCCAGGGAAGGTGGGGGGATGGGGAGGATGAAACTTGAATCAGTGACCATCTGGCCCAGATTTGGCTGATTTCCTGTGCACTGTCCTTTGTTTCTGCCAGACAATGGATTGCTCCCTTTACAGATAAGAACCCTGTTGATGACTTTGTGCTGAATCAGCATATTTAGTTTGGGGTTGCCAGCAAAGACTCATAATGACAGATTTTCTGTTGTTCTGAGGTCACTATCCTAGTCTTTATCCATCACAAAGGTATTCTTCAGGTGCTTTTCTATAATTCAGTAGAGTGATGGGATTACATATATATATGTCAAAATAATTGGGAATATAGATTTCTAGTTTGGTATTGTCTTAATCATTGAATTTTTCATTGTTCTCAGTTTACAAAGCTAATGTGTACCTGGGTGTGATTTTTGATGAGTGTTTATTTAGAATCTTGAGTGTGAACTTGAATTTTCATTTTAACTTTTAATGGCTTAAATTTAGTCTTGTCCTAAAGCTAAGTTAGACTTTTACGATGTGGCTGTATGAACTGTAAGTTTTCTGTGACATCTGTTGCCATGTATCTGTAAATTACATTTTAGGGTGTTAAAGCTATTTGCCTTACTTTTAATGCTTCCTAATCATCACGACACTTTAAAAAATGGTTATTTATTAGAAATAGGGGTCTCTGTTGCCTAGCATCCTGAGTCAGTCAACCATCAGAATTTGTAGGTTTTCTTAAGAAACAAGAGAGATTAGAGTGTGGATAAATGCCACTTTTCAGAAGACCAGAGCAAACTTCGACACTACTATTTTGCTTTGTAGCCAAGAAACATTAAAAATAATAGTTTTACTTCTTAAGTTATTGGAGAATTGTTGTCAGATTGTCAGTTGACTTTTTTGTTTAACTCTTAGCTTCTTACAGCTGAATTGCCATTTAATACTCCAGTATGGAATTTTCTCCAGACAACCTTTTCTGAAACCACTTATAGCTTTTAAATCAAGCATTTGATCAAAATTGACTGTGTTGAGATCAAATCTGTAATTCTTTTGTGCAGATAAAGGTATGCTCCTTAGATAGAATCAAGGAGCCTAATCTTAAGAAAAAAGCTTAATAGTTAGTTCTTTGGGGGATCTAATTACATAGCAAATGGGACCACACAGCACTGTTCACTGTCATTGGATGTAATGAATTTTAGGTCTGCATCCAGCTAAAACCAATGATGAAAAATGACACAAAACCTTAGTTTGCCACCATATGGGACACTGCCCATTCATATATTGTTGTTTCCCTTTGTTTTTGCATCTCTCTAATCAGCTAGTTGCCTCTGTTTGGAACTAATAAGGCCTTAGAACTGCTGGTTCAGTTTAAATGCATGGGTAGTTTGGATACATGGGTGTCAGGGCATTTATTGGAATAGAATATTCAGATGTAGAGGATTGGTTAGTTATATGGTAAAGTGTGGAAGAGTTAAAAGCTACAACAACAAGACAAGTTTCCACCCCTCACCCCCTGCTTTAATCAAAGACTAGTTCAGGGAGCTAGTTCGAGGTGGAGGGTAAGGTCTTATCCTTTTCTCTCCCTCCCCCTCCTGGTCACCCTTCACCCCCCAACCTCTGACTCTCCTTCAAATCTTGCTGAGGAATTATAGTCTCTACAGAGGCTGGGTTGCAGATGCCTGGAAAGTTTACGCCGCAGAGAGTTGTTTTGTTTGGCATAGCTAATCAGGAGCCAGGCTGCAATTGCTCATAGCTGTCATTCAGGTTTTGTTTCAAAGTCCAAGGACCTGCTGGGAAAAACAAAAAGCTAATGAAAGCTGACTGTATTTAGGCCTCAAATCTGTGGAATCTGAAATGATGTCCTGACAGTGTATTCTTATTCTTCCACATTCTTGCCGTTACTAAGGTAACAGATTTTTAGAGGCTTTCCATCTTCATTGTCAAGTATTTGCTACACTTATTGTTGTTTTTCAGATTAGAGCAATTCAGATTATCTCCTTTTGAGATGAAGGAAAAAGAGAAAATAATAGAAATAAAATGTCTGAATCAATTACCCTGAATGCTAGCGAGATCAGTTTTTTTAAATGACTTAAAATTCTTGGATTCATAACCATGTATTTAGAACAAGATCAATTTCTTCAAGTTTGTGAGTGCTGTATGTTTAATATTCTCAGTCTTGTAATAGGAAATACTAAGTATTCATATCATCACTAGCAAATACATCTTATGGGAAAAAGGTATATAGTGAAATACCCTGTCTTTAAAATCTTTCTTCTTGAATGAAAAGCTAGATTAGATGAAAAACTGATGTGCTTGAATTCATATCTGTAAATAGTAAAATCGAGAAAATGAACTGTGATGAAAATGTTTACTGAAAAAATTGGTCTTTTAATATTTGTTTTAATGGGATGTTTTGCCTTGGTGGATTAGCACTTGCATATATGAAAATTCTGTTGTTTTTATAATCCATTTAGGGCACATACTTGTATTACTGTGGTGTGAAAAATAATAAACAAATAATTTGGGGGAGACAAGGTGTTCTTTGGGTTGGCTTTAGAATCCCTGTGGTAGATCCTCAATAATCTTTTAACTTTTATGAATCTTCTTGTCAATATGTTGACTCATTGGAAGATGACTCTTTTTTTCTACAGACTTATCAAATATCTTCATCAAGTACTTTTTCCCCTGTGGCAATGACTAGAATATTGAAATGACCTAGTTTTAGTACTGATCAGATCACGTCACTAATTTGGTCCCAACACAATAAAAGCCAACATTCATGGAGATAAGATCTGGCTTAATTTTCTTCTGAGAAATGAGAGAGTGGGCAGCTGGCTGAATGGGAAAGAACCCATCAGGCTCTGGAAGAGAAGCGCTTAGAGTGTGTCAGGAGGCCTTCATTTTAATTTCTGTATCTTTGTTCATGCTCCTTTCCCAGCCTGGATTTTATCTTCTCTTCTCTCCACCTATCTAAAGCCTATGCTTCTCAAGGTCCAGCTGAGGTTCTTCTTTATCCATTGAGCCCTCTTCAACTGCTGGTGATCAGATTGTAAGACCGGCTTGATCCTCAGCTGACCACAGTACCTAATGAATTGCTTTCAGATATAGTTTTGACATTTTTCATAGGAGAATGGTTAGGATGAGGGAGATATAAAGGCAAAATAACATAAAGAGAATGGATCATTTGATATGAGGAAGTTTAATCCAGAAAAAATTCAGACAGACACAAGACAGCTGTCTTCAAGGGCTGACATGTGCAGCTGGCATTAGATTTACTCTTAATTACCTTTAAAGCAAGGGTTTTCAAATTGTGCTCTGCAGAGCTATAGGGATTTTGTCTTGGGCTACAGGGGGTAGAGAAGAAGCAGGGACTAGTGAACATGCTGAGTGCCTCCTGCAGCTGCTAATGGAGCAGTTTTACTTTTAACTGCTGTATATATTGAGTTTCTGCCTAATATTTCTTTTAAAGGCACAGTGTACTACCTAAAAAATAAGATTTTGAAAATCACAGTTGTATAGATTAATAGGGGACAGTTTTGGTTCAAATAAGCTTAAAATGTTCTAGCAATAGAAGACTTTGAAGAATTAAATATACTTTGTAAGATATGAGTTCCACATTAAGTTAGTAGGTTAATGACTATGACAGAGACATTGGAAGATTGTGTTTTGGGGGAAAGATTAAAATGGGTATTGGAAGCCTTTTTATTTCCTACAGTTCTGAGTAGTTGATCTCTTGTGTAGTTGATCTCTTCTCCTATTGTCAGTGTGAGATCATTTGGCAGTTGGTGTTCTTAACTGGATTTTGGGGTAAATTCCCCCTCCCAGTTTAATCATGGGGTTCCAGGGAGTAGGAACAATGTCCTCACCGTTTTTGGATTCTTCAGATCCCAGCACAGATGTTGGGTCTCCGTAGAGACTTGTTGGTACAAGAAATGAATGCAGGAAGCACTTGCTTAACTGCCTTATGACCCCATCCAATCATAAAGGGTGATAAGGGAAGGTATTTGCAGGAATTTTTTTCTACTAGTGCTTTCTGCCCTTCAGGAATAGTAGGAATGACTGAGGAGATTTAAGATAATCCACCTTTCCTTCTTTTTGTCAGGACTACTGTGTCTGAAAAAGTGAACAGGGCTCCTGAGCCTAGTAGGAGAAAACTTGAATGTGGGAATCACAACAGGTTGAAGAACTGAGGCACACATGGGGGGAAGTTGAGGTAATATTCATTATTCTGAGTGCAGATGAGGGATATATCCTGAGGATCACGTTGGCAGCCAGGGACCTCAGGGTTCTGTTTGTTCCATGTTTCAGTTGGTGCTGATTTTTTCTGAGAACCAGAATTAAAAGGTATGAAATTACAGGAAAGTTTTCCAGATGCGAGATTGGAATCTGGTAATCGTGGTAGACTTGATAGGGACAGACAGGCGCTTGATGAGCACAGTGTAATCTGAGGCAGCCCTTACACTCATAGGATGCCTTTCATGTTGCCTCCTTTTGTACAGGGTGGAAAGGGCAAAATATTTCCCCCCAGGTCCTGGCACATTGCCTTGTACCTAACTTAAGGAATAATGCACTTAAGGAATAAAGATGAGTCTTATTAATGGGGCTTTGAGAACCAAATGCCAATTACAATGTACCTTGTAGCTAATGATTATAGTCAATATTTCCTGGGGTTCCCTATACTTCTACAGATTCTGCTGTAGAATGGCAAATTTCCGAACAGGGAGATTGGTCATATCTGAAAACACAAATGTCTATACAAGGTGTTCGTTGTTATATGACAAGGGAAATGCCTGGAACCTGAATAATTCCAGCATTAAGGAAGCCTTGTCATAACCACTGGAAAAGAGGTGCTTTTTATTAGGTAAGAGTTGCAAATACTAACTATGTGTATTCTAATGGCAAGGTACCTTTGGCAGTAGAGAAGGCTAGATTAGAAAGGGCGCTCTAAAGAAGTCATGCCTATCTTACCAAAAGACAAGGCCTTGGGGTCCCAGAAATGCTTAAAGAGCCAGGATTAAAGTATTGATTACTTAATTCCCAGTGGAAGTGTGCCTATTCGTAGTGGTGAGGGGACCATCTTTATTTATTCTGTAATTTTCGTATGTAGGAATAATCTTTCTTTCCAAAGCTATTTTGTAACTTGAGAATTATGCATAATTGTAAAAATTATGTAGATATCCTGAAAGCAGCTAAACATGCATGCCTTGGGATTTTGTGTAATAAGACAGTTCAGCAAGTGTCAAGAACATCACAAAAGTATGTATGCAGTACACAAGATAACACCATAATGCCTTCAGCAACAAGTATCTTGTGCCAGTGTGAATTAAGACAGAATATAAGGTCTATGGGAAAAATTTAGTTAAGACAACTAAGAGAACTGATTTGGAAATTTGTGTGTCAGTAAAAAAAATAAAAAAGGACTGTTTAAGCATATTGGAACAACTTTCTCATTAAAAAATTTATTACTTTTAAGAGTTTTAATAAACACCAGTTATATATATCCAGTTATATGATTCTTAGCAACAGCTCTTGAAAATGTTAATTAATCAGCATATTTGAATTCTGATGGTCAGCTCTAGAGATCAGAAGTAGAATATAAATTTCACGGAGGAAGATTTAGGCATATGAGAAAGAACTTAAAGCATATTTTACTTTATTATTAAATATACATAAAAATCTAATAATGAAAATTAGGTTTTCTTCTATCACGATTGCATAGCTACCCAAATCTCCAGAGTCCAGCCTTTGGTATATCCTTCCTAAGATATTCTGTGCATATACTTGTATCTAGGGAAGCATTGTTTGGTTCTTTGTGTTTTCAGCTAGCTGTATTTTTCAGATTGATGAATACCTTTCTGTTACCTAGTGTGCTTCAGCAGTGGAACAGGCTGTCTTGTGGTGTAGTTGTACAATAAAGTCTGGAAGATGGGCTGTGAGGAGTGTTGAAGGGAATACCATTCTGGGTAGAAGTTTGGAATAGATGATATTGAAGGTACCCCTCTCAAATTCTATGAGACATTTGAGTACCTATCAAATGCTAAGTACTGTACATGGGAAAAATAAGTGTAGGAACTTACATTTTAGTGGAAGATAAGGTATATGCTCACATGTATTCCATCAGAGTGTATGTGAAAAATTCCATAAGACAAAATTAAGTACAACAGAGCTATACAAATAACTGTTGAATGACTCACAGAGACGACAGGAAATACTATGAGTTAAGCAAAAAGTATAGAAGCCTAAGAAAACTTTCACTTGGACCTATGACTGTACCTAAGCTGTTAGGAATTAAATTTGGTTTAACAAGGAATCGGTAAGGAGAGCAGTTTGTCATTATAGAATACTGAATACAGACACTGATAGAACAGTATGAAAGTGGAGACAAAAGAGGTTGATAGGTGGCCAGCTGTTAGGCTCTGAAGTTCAGCCTACAAGGCAGAGAAATAGAGAGATGGAGAGACAGAGAGAAAGAGAACGTCCATCCACTGGTTCGTTCCCAAAGTACTAGCAATACCAGGGCTGGACCAGGCTGAAGCCAGGAGCCTGGAACTGCATTTGGGTCTCCTTATAAGCTTGCAGGGACCCAAGTACTTAATACATCATCTCCTGCTTTCCCAGGCACATTAGCAGGGATCTGGATCAAATGTGGAATAGCTAGACTCAAACAGATGCTCTGCTATGGGATGCGAGCATCCCAAGTAGAGGCTTAACCACTGGACCACAACACTTGCCCCTCACCCTGTATTTAGTGAGTAACCAAGGGCCAACTGAAAGTGTCTGAACAGGAATGTGAAAGCTCTGAATATTAGGAAAGATGACTTTAAATTATTCTATAAATGTGGGCTTGGAGTAACATGGACTTGAATATTATTGTTGAAGGAAATAGAAAGAGACTAAAAAAATAAA